TTTTTTTTTTTTTTTTTTTTTTTTTTTTTTTTTTAATACATTTATTCTCTAGTTGATTAGCTTGTACTGCATCTAGCCCTTGGACCCCCAGCATAAGAAGGATGTCAACCCCTTGGAGGGATCCCAGAGGAAGGCCATGAAGATGATCAGACATCCAGAACACCTCTCCTATGACAACAGCCTGAGAGTGCAGGGATTGTTCAGCCTGGAGAAGAAAAGGGGAGACCTTAGAGAAAGCTTCTATTACCTAAAGAGGACCTGCAGGACAGCTGGAGAGGGACTTTTTACAAAGACATTTAGTGGTAGGACAAGGGAGAAAGACTTTGAATTGAAAGAGGGCAGGTTTAGATTAGATACCAGGAAGAAATTCTTTACTGCTAAAGTGATGAGGCATTGGGACAGGTTGCCCAGACAAGTTGTGGATGACCCATCCCTGGAAGTGTTCAAGACCAGACTGGACAGGGCTTTGAGCAATCTGGTCTAGCAGAAGGTGTCCCTGACCATGTCAGGGGAATTGGAACTAGATGATCTTTAAGGTCACTTGCAACCCAAACCATTATTGGAAGTCCATAACATTTTCCAAAAACTGATGTTTATATACAATATTACTAAATTTTAGGAATTATTTTTAGTAGCATCCATCTAGAGAGTGTAGATGAATGTGTATCACCATGTGAAATTAAAATTTGCTTCTGAGTTCTTGTACACTTAATTGTAATGAAAAAAATAGACCATGGCAAACCATCACATTACTGTCTTTACTCTTCTAGATCAGTACAATAAGGGAAATGACCAGCTTAGTAACACTACAATGCCCTATCTAGGTTACTATGCATTACAGCATGAAAGAGATCTATTGCTTTTAGTGGGTAAAAGAGAAGACAGGAAATCAGAGTTCCCACCCTCTTCTGCAGTTCATCAGGTTACTTATATCCACATTTTCAAAGTTAATAATTTCTAAACCCAAAGCTTGAGCTTCGAGAAATAACAGTTGACAAAAGATAATGATATTTGTATATCACAGATAAAGCTACACTTCTCATATCAAGTTCACAAACATTTTTTTCCATGTGTCAGAAGCATTCTGAAAATAGGGAGCAGCAAAATTACCCACCCCTAAACAACATAACTTCTTTGCCCAATTTAGATTACGTAGGTGTTGTTGTCTCGCTTACTTATTGCAACATGTTAGGGTAGCAATAATGTTTCTTGAAAAAGGAATCTATGTATCTTGGTACATTAACATATTGTTGCAAGTGTAGCATAAAGTGTCTTCATAGTCTCTGAAGAAATGTCATGGTCTTTTATAGCAGAATATATTTTATTTCAAATACAATTAAAAAACTGATTTTTTTTTCTCCATTATGAATAAAAAGATTTATTCATTATAAATCTTCCTTCAGTTTGGTTAAAAGAACATGAAATTGCTATGTAAGTAAATAGTAAATCTTAAATCTCACAAAGTACTGCCATAGTTTAGCCCTATACACTATTAGGGCAAGTAGTTGCTAGTTGTGGAAATCAGAAAATTTAGCATGTCTGAGAAATATGGTAAGTAATCAGTGCCAGATTTTCACTATTTTGCACTATGCCCTGTCATTGCTATCAGCTCGTCCATATTTAAGAAAAAAATACTAAGACATAAAATGGATCTGTTCCTTTATTAACCAATTGCTCATCGTAGATTGCTATCAATGAAAATACACTGGCTATCGATGTCTTCTAAATCATTTTAAACAGCAATAAAACTTGTAATGAAGGCACTTCATTTATGTAAGCAAAAGCTTCCTGTGTATAACTATCAATAATATATTACCATATTCTGTAACTCCCAAATTCTAATCTCAACTCTAAGCAGGGAATACTAAGGTTTTCAATATTTAATTAAGATGCTTCTTCTAAAAGCTTAAGTGAAACCATCTAATTAAAAAAATGCTAATGTGGAGGTATAGACTTTCCTTGTCAAAGTGATGTATCTTTTTCCTTCTTCTACCTCTTTCTGGTTTGGTTTTGGTTTTTTGAAGACAGACAATACCTTATCAGTATAACCTTTACTGCTATTAATAAAATATTTGAAATGCCACCATGCATACAAAGGCATAAGTTAGGGGATAATTAGGTGATATCAATTAGACGTGGTTCAATAGCAAGTCAAAATGATTATTTCACTGGACATAATCAGTTTTAAAATAATAGGCTTTATTCTTCATCCCAATAAAATCAGTTTAAGAGTGGATTCCATTCTTCAAAATTTTTAATGATAAAAGTCAAAGAGATTTTATTTTGCTTTAGTTTTGGTACTAAAAAAAAAGTAGCTAGGGGGAAATTACAGGGACATAACACTGATTTGTTCTGGCATTGTTTATATAAAGGACCAAACATCTTATAAACAGAGTTCTGTTACTACACATAAAACCAGATTAACCTCCCTATTCATAAAAGGCTACTATTTTACACAAATACAGTAAAAGTTTAAGCCTCAAAGAGCTTACAGTATAATCTGAAATAAAATTAAAATATCTAGATTGGAGTAGGGGGAAATTAAATAAATATGTCAGTGAGGATTTGTGTTCTTACTTTAAATATTATGATACATGGAAAACGACTTTGTGCTTCCAAAATCCATCTAACGATTTAAGTGTACTAAAAGAGATTCCAGTCCTTTAGAGGTAAAAACTTAAATACACATTCATTCCTATCAACACCTAAGAAAACATTACTATTCTGATTGTAAATTGTAGAAATTAGCACAGTTTAGTACTACAGCAGCAGCAATTATAGATGTCTTTAAAATATATACAGTAGCTTCCCTTTTTTTTTTTTTTTTCTGTAATACTATGAAAAATTCCACCAATACAGTAATGCAACTGTTGCTCATTTTTATAAACTCTTGTTTTAAATACACTAAGGAACCACTGCAGTGTACCTCTGCTGTAGCAAAATATCACCAAATGGAAGCACACATATTTAACAGGCTTCTTTTATATGCAGCAAACCCTAAACGTTTCAAGGTGAGACTTGAAAATTAAACACAGAAGCATCCAAACCAAGTTTCACACCTGTTATTGACACTTTAGAACCTCACTAGGGAGTGACCGAAATGTCTGCTTTGATGCGCAGTAGCAACTTCGGGACAAGAACTTGGTACAACACACACACCTACGTGAGGGACCTTTGAGATACCTACTCAAGCTCGCCATCCCCTGCGCGCCCTCTGGACCTCTCTCCCTGCGCATCCCGAGGTGGGGACGGGACAATTTTCCTCCGGCCGTGCGGGGCCGGGCTCTGACTCCCGTCCCCTCCCACGCGGAACCGCGAGCGTTTTCCAGCTCTTCGTTCCTTACGGCGCCGCACACAGCCCGTGCGAGCCGTCGCTCCTGCCCCTGAAGATGCGCTTCCCTGCCTCTGGCATACTGCCGGGAGAAGGCAAACCCTGCCCACTGAGATGTTCGGTACTTCTCAGGACACCCAGAGGCAGAAAACGCCAGGTGGAAGGAAGCCACAGGAGTGAGGGGCGCACACCTCCCCCGCGCCCCCAGCTTTGCGGGGCTCTCACTCACGTAGGAAGCCGCGGGCTGCCGGCCGCCTCATCGCCCTCGGCCGCCTCCTCCTCCCCGATGTCGGGCAGGGTGATGAGCAGCCCCTTGGCCGCCGCCCGCCCCCCGGGCTCCTTCTCCGTCTCGCTGGGCGCCGGGCGCGGGGCGCGGCCCCCGCCGGACGGGGGTCGCGGGCTGGGGGCCGGCGGGGAGCGGCGCAGCCTGGAGAGAAGGGAGCCCGCCCCCAGGGCCGCCGCCTTCATGTCCGGCTGGCACCGGAGCCCCTTCCCGGCGCCGCAAGCCCTGCCGAGGGGCCGGCAGCCTCCGGCGGGACTGCCCTGCCTGCGGCCCGGCAGGCGTTGCTAAGCGAAACAAACCCCGCCGGGCACGCTCCGCCCTGGGCGGCAGCACCGCGCCGGCGGAAGGCCCGGCAGCGGCCCCCAGCCGCTGCGCACCTGCGGGGCGCCGGGCACAGACCGCTGCCACCGGAGAGCCGGGCGCACGAAAGCGTGGGATTTCCCTGCCGTCAGAATCCCGTCTAATATTAAGGGACAAAAACGAAGCCCGCCTGCCAGGGCAGCAGGGCCCTCTTCACACATCTGTGCGTATGAAGGGCTTAACCAGAAGCGGGGAGTGAGAGCGACCCAACCCAGCAAGCACATCTTTATCACCATGCCAGAGGCAGAAAGGAGCTGTCTGGAATCAACAGCTAGCGTGCTTTTAAAGACACTCCCAGCCATCCTAGGCAATCTGGAGAGCAGTAGTGGGTGACAGTGGTATAAGACAGACAGGTGAGGGCACACGGGTTGTCTGCCTGGCTGAACAGAAATATAAGCACACCAGCAGCAGTTTTGGAACACTGTAATGTTTAGTATTATGGACAATGCAAACTGTGCCAGCTCAGAACATGACCGGTCACGTGGCCCTTGGAGTGCCCAAAAGAACAGCACAGGCTGAAAGCTAGACCTGTTGCTTTAAACATATGAGCCCCAGGATCATACATCAAGCAACTAGTTGGATGTACATACTATCAATTTTAAGTTGGCAGCTGCTGGTCCACAGCAACCAAGGATACAAAGTGAGGAATTTTATCCCTGCTCTGTCTTCCTAGCACATCAAGGAGTGCAATGAGCCAGCAGAGAGAGCACACAGAACACCAAGTACAGAACTGAGATTTGAAACTGGGGCATTCCTGGCCTTTTTCTTACAAACCAGAATAAATATATTCTGACAAAACCTCATGGACTGGTGTACTTAAATCAAAGAGCAGCACAATCTGAATTTATGCCTACCATGGTGAAAAGCCCCGACTGAGCCACAGTGAAAGTAGCATAATCGAGCTCATTGGCAGGTAGTATATTTATCTCAGCTATATATATATGAACATCACTGTAACTTGTTCATTACTCCCTGTGTCCTGGTTCTGGCCAGGATCAAGTTAATGTTTGCAGTAGCAAGGAGGGGCATGGCTAGGGCCCTGAGATAACTCTATGTCACATCAAGCACTAGGGGCAGGGGTACTTTGTATTCCATGTAGTAAGAACTCACAGGTGAATCAATCACCTCTCCTGTACACTCCGTTATTAATATTGTTCATGTTATTGTTTGGGTTTTGTTTCATTGCTTTTTCAAGTAAATTGTTCTTATCTCAACCCATGATTTTTACCTTTTGTGCTTCCAGTTCTGCTCTCCAGCCTACCAGGGGGAGGGAGGAGTGAGTAAGCAGCACATGGTTTAGGATACTAAATTGGGGAATACTATTGCTAAACCATGACACCCTGTCATTCAAGATCTGCAGAAACAGTCAGGTTCCACTCCAAATCTCCAGACTTGAGCATTCTGCCTCACTCAAGTCCTTTACATATTCTGCTTTCAATACAAATAGCTCGTCTTCAATCCTACGTAATATCTTTGATATTTCAAGTTTGGAACTTCAAACTTTTGATTTATTTGGTGTTCAGCTCATCAGCAAATCAGCATTATATAATTTGATGCTGCAAAAGAGACTGCCCAGCTAAGACACAGACTGAATCCTGAAAGCACTTACAACTCTTAGCCATGGTAAACCCATTTATTTATTCTCAATAAAATTTTCAAACAAATCTACAGGAGCAGACCAGAAGTAAGTAACTTGCAGAAAAACAGGGAAAATGTATAGGAAAATTTTATGTATGTTGTAACTGATGATTACAACTGGCCCTGTGATTATTACTTCTGTGCCTTTTTTTATGCATTATGAACCTTTTTTTTTTTTATTTTATACATTGTGAACCTTTATAATGTCTTTTACTGTGGTAATTATTTTAAACTGAATCTAGGTACTAAAATAGATGCTTAGAATGTATTCATCGTATTTGTTTATAATTTAAAGAGATTTTTCATTCATCACCACATACTTCTTGTTTGTATTCCTAAAACAAAACAAAGCATTTATAAGATTTTTTTTCACTGTTCTGAAACCAATTTTGGGGGCTTTTGCAGTAAAATAGAAACAACTTTATGAATTTAGACATGCTGCCATTTGTCAGGCTCTAAGGGTCAGAAAAGACCATTAGATAATCTAGTCTGACCTCTTGTATCACATTCCACGGCAGAATTTCTCCATGTGTTCTCTTCATCTTTATGTCATTTTTAATATCCATGTGAATACTAATAATATCAATTTGAACTACTAGCATTTTCTAAACAATTTATATTGATGTGGAAAGAGAAATTCTGCTGCTATGTGTCATTGCAGATTTAGGATAGGAACCCTCTTACACATTAGTCTTTAAGTAAGAGAACAAACAATTGACATGGTGCATACCTGGTACACCATAATTACCAACTTGCCTCCTCAACTTTCATGGCCTAAGCATAAAGAAAGAATTTGTCACTTCGCCTGAAAAGGTCAGAAAGATGAGATGAAAGAATCACAATGGGGATAATCCTATTACTGTAATTAAGGAATCATCAGCTATCACTTCAGCTGTAAACAAAGCCTGTTTTGTTTTCAGTCAGGACTTCCCGAGCAAGTGAAGACAACTGCACCCCCTTCATTATTCCAGTGCATGAAAAATCCTATTTCACTAATTATTTGTCTTGTTTGAGTTTTTATCATCATGGGACATAGGAAATCTATTAAAATCCAATTTTTTATCTACACATATAGCAAGCAATGAGAAAAGCTGCTTAAAATGTGAAGTATAGAACTGTTTTCTAAAGCAGTAAAACAGCATTCTTGTAGCAATAGTGGTATTGAAGTTGATGAGGGAAATGCTAGGGGGAAAAAGTAATTTAAAAATATTCCTGAGCTATTGAAGGATCACAGACCTACTAAAAGCTGACAGTTTTAAGAAGTCCTTGCAGCAGCAATTAAATATTAACAAAAATATACAAATTACTGCCTTGTGTCTAATTTACAATCACTTGTGCTCAGACTCACCATAAAATTTTAGCCAGTGTTAAACATTATAAACACTCTTGCTCAGCCTCTGGTCACTCCAGATCAAGCCACTAGCCCATATGTTTGAACCTTAATGCCCTAGCAATTGCCATCTAGCCCACATTCCTGTAAAATATGCTCAGGAAAAAATCAAACTAGCTTAATATTCGAGAAATAAACTACATAATTCTATCTGATTTTTTTACAGTTTTCTTTTTAGCTATCAATAGCTAAAAGGAATAAAAGGAAACAAAAAAATTAAAATTATTCTAGTTTTGAAATTTTTTCCCACTTCACCTCTAACTGTGGTCACAATAATGGTTCTGATACAATTTAAAATTATTTCTTTGTTTTTGTGGTTATTGCTTTACCAGTAGCATTTTTTTTTGTAATGAAATTGCAGTAGCACCACTTTCTCCACAAAGTTATCTTTGTTATATTATAAAAATTATATTATAAAAATATCTGTGCCTTTATTCATTTTATATAGGTGCAGTAGCTGTACCTTGTCCATGCTTCACATTAATTCCAAGTTCTGTGTAGAGGCCCACATATAGTTTCGTATGCATTCTAAGAATCAAGGTGACATGTCTCAGTGTTAATGTCCTGCCACCTCTCTGAATTTCACCAGAGAAGAGCAAAATTTTTTTTCCTGATACCAAATTTATTAAATCAATTGACTCATCAGCCTGAAAGTCACTTTTTGATAACAACCAGTATTAGCCCACCAGAAGGCATAATCACAAAGGTTTTAAAACTCACTTTGAAACTCACTTTTGAACTGCAAATTCTTGTTTTGAATTACAGAAGTAATTTTCTGTGTTACTTACTGTGTTTCACAAGGAAAGCTTTCCAGCTGGGGGTACTGAATCCCCATGTTTCAAAAGCAAGAAGTAGTGTCCACTCTAGTTTCTACAAAGAATTTACTGTTTTATCATTAAAGTATTTTCTTTTGTATATCCCCTTAGAGAGTCTGTCTTTTCTACCCTATATAATTTAATAGATCAGTGATTCTCACTGCTTTTCAGAATTTCTACCACATTTTTAATACACTGATTGAAATTACTATCCACCATGATCCCTTTTAACATCACTTCAGTGCAGCTGAATTAAAATATCAGCAAAAATATGAATATAAACAAATAAATTTAAATTATATTGACACTTACATATATTTACAGGGTGACAAACTTTTTCAGACCTTCATGAAAGGCTTGCTAGTTTTCCAGTGGTAGAAAATATACAATAAAATGACCCCATAATTCAAATCTGTAGTTCAAAAATCAGTGCACTTTACTTTGACATTTAAGTGCCATCACCAAGTGCTGATGAAATGCACTGATTCGTTCCTTCTGGGCTGGCCAGTTCAAGATGCAGCGAGATCTGAACATTCCTCTTCTCAGGTGAAGTGCATGATATAACTTGTAATCTTGGATATCATCGAGAAAGATCAGTATGATGGAGTCCCGACTTTGTTCAACAGCTTGCTGAAGAGCATGATACACCTTGAAACTGAAGCAAAAATAAGACAAAAATCAATGTTTTCTATTATGTGACAGAAAAAGAAAACACAAACAGTTCTTAAAAGGGGTCTTAATGTCTGTTTTGTGATATAAAATGGTTATTACTTTTCTTAAATTAATTGCCTGTAATGAAAAAAAAATGCTCTAAAAATATAACTTACATCTACTGATTAGCAAAATCTCTTTCTTTACAAGACCACTATAAAAGAATGGTGAAAAGACTAATTTAAAGGCAAACAAAAATCATCTTTGGGTGCTAGTAGTCTCACTCATTGTTGCTTTTCTTCAAATGTGTAATTTTAAGGAAAGCAATCTG